TAGGTGTTCATGTTTCTCCAGAAATTAGAATTTTCTTTATAGGGGTTTGTCCATTAATTAAGTGGTATATGAAATTTAAACAAATAACATGTTGGAAATTTTGAAATGATGTCTATGTACCATGAAAATAATTTTAACATACATTAATACAAATTAAGAATGTGATTGGATAATTTTCATCAACAATAAAGAGGCTAAACTTTTTAATAAAGCATTTATCGAAAAACTGGATTTTCTGTAGGGGTTAACCCACATATTTCGAGAAAAAATTAAAAAAATGAAAATTTTGTTTTAATGCATATTTACATCTTTAACAGACATAGTATGAAGGTTAAAGAGGTTTGAGACCTTAGGTGTTCATATTTTTCCAGAAATTAGAATTTTCTTTATAGCAGGTTTGTCCATTAATTAAGTGGTATATGAAATTTAAATAAATAACCTGTTGAAAAATTTGAAATGATGTCCATATACCATGAAAATAATTTTAATGATGTCTATGTACTTTGAGATTTTAATGATGTCCATCTCTATGAATATTTATTGGGGGTTTGTCCACTGTATAAGTGGTACACGAAATTTAAATAAATTACAGGTTGGAAAATTTGAAATGATGTCCATGTACCATGAAAATAATTCTAACATACATTAATACAAATTTAGAATTTTATTAGGTAACCCACATATTTTGAAAAAAATTTAAAAAATATGAAACTTTTGTTTTAATGCATATTTTCATCATTCACTGACATAGTATGAAGGTTAAAGATGTTTGAGACCTTAGATGTTCACGTTTCTCCAGAAATTAGAATTTTCTTTATAGCAGGTTTGTCCATTGATTAAGTGGTACACGAAATTTAAATAAATTACATGTTGGAAAATTTGAAATGATGTCCATGTACCATGAAAATAATTCTAACATACATTAATACAAATTTAGAATTTTATTAGGTAATTTTCATCAACAATAAAGAGCCTAAACTTTTTAATAAAGCATTTATCGAAAAACTAGATTTTCTGTAGGGGTTAACCCACATATTTTGAGAAAAAATTTAAAAAATATGAAATTTTTGTTTTAATGCATATTTACATCATTCGCTGACATAGTATGAAGGTTAAAGATGTTTGAGACCTTAGGTTTTCATGTTTCTCCAGAAATTAGAATTTTCTTTATAGGGGGTTTGTCCATTGAATAAGTAGTATATGAAATTTAAATAAGTAACCTGTTGAAAAAATTGAAATGATGTCCATATACCATGAAAATAATTTTAATGATGTCCATCTTTATGAATTTTAATTGGGGGTTTGTCCACTGTATAAATGGTACACGAAATTTATATAAATTACATGTTGGAAAATTTGAAATGATGCCCATGTACCATGAAAAATATTTTAACATACATTAATACTAATTTAGAATGTTCTTGAGTAATTTTCATCAACAATAAAGAGCCTAAACTTTTTAATAAAACATTTATCAAAAAACTGGATTTTCTGTAGGGGCTAACCCACATATTTATAGGAAAATTTAAAAATATTAAAATTTTGTTTTATTGCATATTTTCATTATTCACTGACATATTATGAAGTTTAAAGAGGTTTGAGACCTTAGGTGTTCATGTTTCTCTAGAAATTAGAATGTTCTTTACAGGGGGTTTGTCCATTGATTTAGTAGTATATGAAATTTAAATAAGTAACCTTTTGAAAAATTTGAAATGATGTCCATATACCATGAAAATAATTTTAATGATGTCTATGTACCATGAGATTTTAATGATGTCCAACTCTAAGAATTTTTATTGGGGGTTTGTCTACTGTATAAGTGGTACACGAAATTTAAATAAATTACATGTTGGAAAATTTGAAATGATGCCCATGTACAATGAAAATAATTTTAACATACATTAATACAAATTTAGAATGTTATTAGGTAATTTTCATCAACAATAAAGAGCCTAAACGATTAAATAAAACATTTATCGAAAAACTGGATTTTGTAGGGGTTATTAGGTAATTTTCATCAACAATAAAGAGCCTAAACTTTTTAGTCTAGCATTTATCGAAAAACTGGATTTTCTGTAGGGGTTAACCCACATATTTTGAGAAAAATTTAAAAAATATGGAAATTTTGTTTTAATGCATATTTGCATCATTCGCTGACATAGTATGAAGGTTAAAGATGTTTGAGACCTTAGGTGTTCACGTTTCCCCAGAAATTAGAATTTTCTTTATAGCAGGTTTGTCCATTAAGTGGTATATGAATTTAAATAAATAACCTGTTGGAAATTTTGAAATGATGTTCATGTACCATTAAAATAATTTTAACATACATTAATACAAATTAAGAATGTGATTGGATAATTTTCATCATCAATAAAGAGTCTAAACTTTTTAATAAAGCATTTATCGAAAAACTGGATTTTCTGTAGGGGTTAACCCACATATTTCGAGAAAAATTTAAAAATATGAAAATTTTGTTTTAATGCATATTTGCATCATTCACAGACCTAGTATGAAGGTTAAAGATGTTTGAGACCTTAGGTGTTCATGTTTCTCCATAAATTAGAATTTTCTTTATAGGGGGTTTGTCCATTGATTAAGTAGTATATGAAATTTAAATAAGTAACCTGTTGAAAAATTTTAAATGATGTCCATATACCATGAAAATAAATTTAATGATGTCCATCTCTATGAATTTGTATTGGGGGTTTGTCCACTGTATAAGTGGTACACGAAATTTAAATAAATTACATGTTGGAAAATTTGAAATGATGCCCATATACCATGAAAACAGTTTTAACATACATTAATACAAATTTAGAATGTTATTGGGTAATTTTCATCAGCTATAAAGAGCCTAAAATTTTTAATAAAACATTTATCGAAAAACTGGATTTTCTGTAGGGGGTGGTTAACCCACATATTTCGAGAAAAATTTAAAAATATGAAAATTTTGTTTTATTGCATATTTGCATCATTCGCTGACATAGTATCAAGGTTAAAGAGGTTTGAGACCTTAGGTCTTCATTTTTCTCCAGAAATTAGAATTTTTCTTTATAGGGGGTTTGTCCATTGATTAAGTGGTATATGAAATTTAAATAAATAACATATTGGAAAATTTGAAATGATGTCCATGTACCATGATAATAATTTTAATATACATTAATAATATTTAGAATGTGATTGGGTAATTTTCATCAATAATAAAGAGCCGAAACTTTTTAATAAAGCAATTATTGAAAAACTGGATTTTCTGTAGTGGTTAACCAACATATTTTGAGAAAAATTTTAAAATATGAAAATTTTGTTTTAATGCATATTTGTATCATTCACTGACATAGTATGAAGGTTAAAGATGTTTTACACCTTATGTGTTCATGTTTCTCCAGAAATTAGAATTTTCTTTATTAGGGGTTTGTCCATTGATTAAGTGGTATATGAAATTCAAATAAATATCCTGTTAGAAAATTTTCCATGTATCATGAAAATAATTTAATGATTTCCATGTACCATGAAAATAATTTAATGATGTCCACGTACCAAGAAATTTTAATGATGTCCATGTACCAAATTTTTTGAAGTCGTGGACTAATCCCTATGAATTTTTGAAAAAAAATTTAAAAAAATTATTACTTGCTAGTATACCTATTTAAAGACCCATTAACCAAACTATAGTGTTTAAAATGCTTGAAAATCGTTTTGAAAAGGTTTCGTCCTCTCCTAAGAATAACGTCAAAATTCACAAAAAATTTCAAGGTCGTGGACTAATACCCTCTAAATTTTTTAAAATTTTAAAACATGTATTTCTGGCTATTATACCTATTTAAAGACCAAATTAACCAAATTATAGTGTTAGAAATGCTTGAATCATTTTGAAAAGGTTTCGTCCTGTTTTGAGAATAGTGTAGAATCCACCAAATATTTTGAAGTTATGGACTAACACTCTTTGAATTTTTGAAAATTTCAAAACATGTATTCCTGGCAAGTATAATTATTTAAAGACTCATTAACCAAATTATAGTGTTAAAATTGCTTAACAATTATTTTGAAATTATTTCGTCATTTTATAAGAAAAAAAGTCAAAATTCACCAATATTTTCGAGGTCGTAGGCAAACAACCCTATGATATTTTGAAATTTTCAAAAAATGTATTCACTGCTAGTATACTTATTTAAAAACCCATTAATCAAATTATAGTGTTGAAAATACTTAACGATCGTTTTAAAAATGTTTCTTTTTATTTTTAGGATAACGTTAAAAGTCCACCAAAATATTCGGAACTCATTGTTTCATGCTTTGGTTTGTGACTGAGTTTATGTACGGTGATTGTTATTTACATAAAACTGTATACCATAATATGATACTTACCAAATTAAAGGAAATAGTTTATACGTAAAACTCTTCTCGAACTGAGCATATAAAGTAAATGGAGAAAGGAAATAATGTTCTTGGAAAAAAAAACAAAAAAAAGAAATAATGTTCTTGAAGTGTTTGTTTTCCTAGGCCTTTGATTTCATGCTAGATATGAGTTACAGATATTTAGTTAAGCAATGCTCTTAAACCAAACTAAAAATCCTAATTATAAGAAAACTAATATATAGTAGAAGATTCACACACCGTATTATTCACTGATCTGAAAATTTTAGGTGCTAGCTTCTGTTGAAAAATGTAAAAGGCCATGAACTTTTACATCTAATGATTCCAACCTTTGTCCGTAAGATGTCTCTTTTTTTGTCTGTGGGCTTACTGTAAAGGGAAAGAATTATATAAAGCTACAAGTTTTGTATCTATGTTGGTTTTGAAATTCAAGTAAAGAATACGAAAGAGTACAGGGTTTCAGTTATGAAACTCCATTTTACCCGTTGTCGTGTTTTGATGTAAGAAGCACTCGATTCTTTGCTTCTCTTAACTGTTATTATTGTTATACTTATATATATGTGATGATGATGATGTCTTCCTGTTTCATATCTGATCATACAAAACCTCTTTGGCTCACAGACAACATGGATACAACAACAACATCCACACATAACCTACCCATTCACAAGCATCCTCTTTTACCTTCAGCTCGGTTTTTTACTGCTGAATGTGGTGGCTGCCATTTAACAGAAACTTTGTACGGCGGCTACTTTTGCAATGAGGCTTCATGTAATCGTTGGTTCCATAAAGAGTGTGCGGAAGCCCCTCTAGAGATCAATCATCATCCTTCCCATTCAAAGCATCCTCTCCTGCTCACTATTGACTCTCCAACCAAAGATGATACTCCATGTGATTCTTGTGGGCAAAATATTTTGTCCCCGTTTTATACTTGTCCCAAATGTGAGTTCAAAGTGGATTTAATTTGTGGGATTAAACCATCGCCATCTGTTATTGAACACCCGGTGAGTCATGACCATCCACTAGTTTTCTTTAAGAAACGAGAGGAGGAGAAAAAAGAAGTCCACCCTTGTGAAGTATGCAATGAATCTATCGGTGGACCTTTTTATTCATGTCTTGCATGCAATAATGTATACTTTCACTTGGATTGTGTGCATCTCTCAAAAGAGGTAAATCATCCTTGTCACTCAAGTCATCCTCTTACAATCATCCCAGCTGAGTTGTTTTTTGAACGAAATTGTACTCTATGTTACACTAGATCAAGAAGTTATTATCATTGTTATAGTTGCAATCTTCCTGTGTGCCTTGGTTGTACCAAACGTCCACCACCTCTGGTTGTCGATCATACCAAGACTCACAATCATCCGCTTAGGCTCTTATTAAGCGAAATTGAGTTTACATGCAAGCTTTGTGGAGTTAAAGATTTCGTAACTGTGCTTTACGTATGTATTGAGTGTGGTTTCCTTGTCCATAAAAACTGTGTTGGCTTACCCCAAGTCATAAACATCAATCGTCATGATCATCGTATCTCTTTCACGTATCGTCTTGGCATCCATGAGCTTACAGGATGTGGAGTATGTAGGGCAAAGGTAACACGGTACGACGGAGCATATTCTTGCTCGATTTGCCCTAACTATGCAGTTCACGTACGATGCGCACTTGATTCAACTGTATGGAATGGTTTGGAACTGGAAGGGGTACTTGAGACCATCGAAGATATTTCTCCATTTAAGGTGGTGGGTGATAATTTGATACGTCATTTCATTCATGGAAACCATAATTTACTGCTCTTGAAGGATTACGTCATGGTTCGTGAATACTACGAGTGGTTACTATGTGATGCATGTGTCTGTCCGATTGGGTTCGGTCCATTCTACAAATGCCAGGAATGTTCTTTCTTTCTACATGAAAAATGTGCTAATCTTCCTATGAAGAAAATGCTTATCTTTGACACTACAACATACAAGTTGGAATATGTTGGAAGATCTTTATACTGTCTCTTGTGCGGTATATTATCTAGTGGTTTTGTGTTCAAGTTGCAAGGTTTAAACAGGAAATATCAATACGTGGATGTACATTGTGGTTCTATTTCTGAGCCGTTCGACCACGATGGGCATATGCATCCCCTGTATTTTGGTAAAAAAATAAGGGATTATTGCTGCGGCTGTCATAGAGTTTTAGATGACAACATGCTCACTTGTGGTAATTGTAACTTTGACTTGTGTTTGTATTGTGCTAATTTGCCAGGGAAGATATGGCATATGCGCGATGAGCACCCTCTCACTTTATATTATGGCATGGCCCAAGGAAGAAGTTTATTTTTTATGGATAAAACTATTGCCTATGGAAAAAGTTGGTGCGAAGTTTGTGAGATGGAGTTAAATCTAACAAAATGGTTCTTTGCATGCTTTGATTGTAGAGTCACTCTGCATGTTCAATGTGTAATAGGAGATTTCTCACATCTCAAGCCAAATTGTTGCATTACCATCAAGAGAAAAAAATATAAGGTGGTCCTTAACAACCAAAACACTCGGCCATTTTGTAGACAATGCAGGGATCGATGCAAGGTGCCACACATCTTAAAAGAGGATGATGAAGAGAAGGATGGATACATCTGCTCCATTTCATGTTTATCGAGATTCTCGGGTGCTAAATTTCATGGACTGGTATAGAGAGTGATCGGTGATTGTTATCAAAACAAAAGTTATATTTTTTTTTTCAACTTCTTTCTTTTACAAAATAACTTAGTTTTCTCCCGATCGTCTTTATTGTAAAACTTGTAGTTGAAAATATAATTAAGGAATCTACTGAAAAAGAAAATGAAAAATACGAGTGATTGTAAATTCTGCAACATTTCTATCAAGACCCTTCCATTAGAAGATCAATGTTAGCAGGAAATGAACTAGAGCTTCAACATCCGAACTCAAATTCGATTCTAAGTGGTCTGAGAAGAACCTCAATTTCTCCTGTGCTAAGATGATGGGAAGCCTAGTTTGAAGATCGGTTGGTGGTAGGAAACTATTTATACGTACAATGCTTCCGCATTTTAAACTACGATATAGATATTTATTTCATTTCAAATCGGTTTATATCTAATAATATGTAACTTTACACATAATGGTTCTCTTTATAGAAACACACATACGTTTCTGTTTCATCTCATTCCGGATTGATCATTAATAAAATGAGATTGCTCATAGAAATATTTTATAAGCTAAATAAAATTTGTTATATATGTTGTCAAATTTCTATAAATATAATACTACTATTTCTTAGTAGAATTTTTATTAAAAAATTTAACCTATTAAATAGTTTCTTCTTCAAATAATTTATGTTTACACTTTACACTCCCACCTCAACTGTTTTAGACCACCACACCAAGTGTTTGATTGTTATACAAATACGAGTACCAAAGTTAGTGTTATTTAATGCTCTGTGTAGGCTGAAGAAGAAACATCACTTATCGACAGATATGATGTTCGATTTTTAAAATAGACAGTACTATTATCTGGATTTTTTATTGGAATATATAAACACTCCATGACGACAAAAAAAGTCCCCATTCCAACTTTCGTTTTGGAAATTTAAATCTTGTTTCTCTCAAACAAGAGAATTAACAACAACAACAAAAGTCGAAATGGTAAAGTATTATGACAGTATATATGTTCTAGAGATTTTTTGGATGATAAACATCAATTCATATCATTTGACGAACATTAGAATATAATATCATCGACAACAAAAGAAATAATTAAGTTATTCTATCCATTGTTATTCTAAAAACTTACAATATAATATTTTTATAAGACTTTAAACAATTTCCAAATTGAAAAAAAAAAAACTCATGATGTATAACATTAATTATATCAAGGAATGTATCACGGCTTGCGCATTATCTTGGTGTTAGAAATACATTCTATACTTATTTCAATGAAGCAGTACCTCCGAGCTATGCTTTATCTTGTGGTCTTTGTTATACTTTTAATAATGCTCGTTTATGGATTCCTTTTCAAAGTATTAGTTGTTAATTGCTTTGGTTTTAGACTTTTTCTAGCTAACTATTATTGCCTTTTCAGTGCGGTTCAGGCCGGCTTCCCTTTTTGTAAAGTACCACAAAAAAATTTATGATTTGAAATAAAATAAAAATCTATATCATAAAAATTTGGTAAACTAATAGTTTTGGTTGATAATAAGCATTTTTGTAAATTGTGTTTCAATCATTCAGAGAGAAAAGGACTGCTAATTTGTTGGAGTTAATCACGAATAAGGCTTTAATTTATGCTTTCATTAATTTATTTTAGTAAATTTGTCACAGATCAAATATCAAACACTAGTTCTGGATTATAAATATAAGAGCTGAATATGGTAATTACTGTATGTGTTCACCTGCTTATGCACGGCCACGGGTCGTTGCGCTTTTGTTGTGAACTTGTAATTTTTTTAGATGACCAAAATGAAGAAAAAGAGAGCTGGAGATCCATATATGCTAATTATAAGAAATTAGAAATTAGTTATTCATTATCTTTTGTTATACTTTTTATGTGCTAGACTACATGGATCTTGATAAATCGCTATGCTAATAATACATAAATAAAGGAAACTAGTATGAAAATTCAAAATTCAAAACTCAAACGCTCTTTAGTTTGTAAATCATTTTTAGTATTATACATTTCTGCTCGAGAAAGTACGGATGTGAGTATATAAAAGACAGGTGCATTAGGGTTTTACGTTTTGCAAGAGGAACGCATGTGGTACCATGTGAATAGGCTCCTCTACTCTCATACTTTTGTTTATGATTTTTAATTAAAAGATGGTCAAGAAAGCCTAAAATTCTGGTTAAATGACGACACTTATAAGCTGACAGTAATGAGAGTTATTAATTGATTTCAATCTTTCCCCCCCTGGTTACGTATATTAAATAGTTGCATCGCACTTGCAGTGTAGACTGTGTAGTGTTATAAACATGTATATATATAACAATTATTTTAAAAAACTATTAATTTTTGTATTCGACTGATTTAGTTATATTAGTTGAAGTTGACTATCGCTCTAATTTGTATATTTTGACCATTGCAGATTCACAAAACCATTACTTATAAGTTTGGTTCAATCCAGACGATTTTTTTTTTTTGGTAAAAAGGCATCCGACGATTTTATTTTCCAGAAAACACATGCATTTATATTCTATTTCAACATCTTGTCGTCATTTGAAATAACTTTTTATTTCTCATGTTAACTTATTAGATATAGCATACACATTTATCATTTTTGGTTGGATGCATATCTTTTCACTAGTGCATAATTAATTTAATGAACATAGCATGGTAAGATAATATATACTATCATATACTAATCTGAATTTATGCATGTTAACTATCTTTATCTAATAGTAGTTTTTTTGTTAATGATCATTTGACCCTAGCGTCCGGCTAATCATGATGTGACATGTTCTTCGGAAATATATTATAATGTGTTTATCATCAAATGAATTACTGCACATGAAAGATCATAACCAAAGTAGAATACGATGATTTGTTACCTATCGAAACCATCTCCTTTTCTTTTTGTGAACATGTTCTTCGGAAATTATATTACATATGTGTCTATCATCAAATGAATTACTGCACATGAAAGATCATAACCAAAGTAGAATAGGATGATTTGTTATCTATCGAAACCAACTCCTTTTCTTTTAACACCATGAAACCAACTCCTAAACTGGAGTTAATTGATAGTTCTGGGTAATTCTTTTAATTTTCCTAAAAAAATAATAATAATATTCTTTTACATATATAAATGTATTCTGATGTGCTTCCTTAAACAATGATTCGACGTGATCCTGTTACTATTACTCAAGCTAGAATTCGATATTTTTTTCAGAAGGGTGACATATGCATATTGTGATATTTGATTAAGATGTGATGATTAATTTAATCATTCTTACATAAATTGTAGCAAACTTAAGTTAACTTATTTGTTAATCAGGACAGGTGAGTGTGAGGCTTGTAACAAATTCCCAAGTAGGTAAATGCATGCACAAATACAAAATAAAACTAATTATATACTTCCACAAGGCTACTCATATATATATATGAAAAATGGTCAACCCTAGAGAGTTCAAATTTAGTGAGGATCAATCATATACATGTGCACACATACCTCATTAATTATAAAAATGAAGAATCCAACAAAAGAGAAAAAAAAACTTATAATAAAAGATCAGAAACACACAAGTGAAATTTAGCAAATAATAATGAAGAGGGAGCATAATATAATGTACGCACACACTACATAGCTCACTAGTAGCAACTGACTAGTTTTGATCATCATTCTCATAATAGACATCATCACATAATTCTTAGGAATTCTTATTGTTAACTTCTGTAAATAAAAAAAAGGCATTTTAACGTACGTTAAAACCCTGACCTAGCTTGATGAGCCCAACCGTAAGCTTCTTGACCGCTCATCTGTCCTCCTCCTCCTCCTCCACCGCTTCCACCGCCACTAGAAACAAGATTTTCGGGCATATTATACACCGGAAGTCCTTGGTTTCCATCCCCTCGACCGCCACCGCCACTCAGCGGAGAACCTACGCCCCCAAGCTGCCCTGGAACCACTCCTCCGCCGCCTCCCTCAGCCGCTTCTTCCTCATCCAAAGGCAATCTCTCGTAAGTCGCATTAGAAAACGTGGCAGCAATTAGCATCACCGGACCAGCCGCCATCAATGGCCCCACCACGCTTCCTCCAACAATCTGACCTTGACCACCGGCTAAGTAAATCGTTAAACCGGTGGATCCAGGTGGAGCCGGTCCAGGCAAGAAAGAACCGGTTAAAGAAAGAATCTCAAACCTCCCTTGTAACGCCAAAACAGCCGCACCACCACCAGGGGGCCCTGCAACGGTAGCTGCTGACGGTTGTCGGAGTGTAACGTTAGCCACCGTTCCGTTACCGCTCAAGATGCATATGCCACGTTGGCGTCGCCTAGCGAAAGTAGCTAGGGTTTCGATGACGTCAGTCCCACTAGCGATCTCCATGACATGGCTCTTGAGAGCGTTAGGAGAATCGCGCGTGACGAAGATCGGTGGCTTTGGTTTGTTCTTGGAACCAGCTGGACGTCCACGTGGACGGCGTGTGGGGGCTTCCACGGCTCCTTCACGTGGCTCGTGGTCGTCGCCGCTCAAGTTGTCTCTATCGTCCTCGTTGTTGTTGTTGTTGTCTTCTTGGCCGTGATGATGATGGTTGTTATGACCTGAGTCCATGGCCATGTTCATGGAGATGTGGAGATCTGGTTTCTTTAACTGAGATGAACTAGGCGGCGTCGTTTCGAGGCCGGAGAGGTTCACTTGCCCTGTCCACCATGGATTCGCCATTAAAACCCTAAAGAGATTATATCTGATTATATATTCCAAAAGTGAACCCTATGGAGAAATATAAGTTTAGATCAAGAGAGGATGAGCAATTCTAGGAGAGGAGATATATTTTCCAGATCTTGGTTTTAAAACCCTTCTACAAGTTTTTGTGTCGTGAGAGACACAAGACACAAAGTAAGGTTAATTGAAGGAACACGACAAAGAATGATACTAAGCAAGAAAGAGAAAAGATGTAATATAAGCTAACTTATAAAATCAGTGGAAGCATATGTAGATATTGATTAATATAATGGATATATACCGTGTATATATAATCGAATATACACAACTAAAATCACCCAACCCAAGGCTCGAGAGCGTAAATTATTACAAAAGGGCACAATATGTAAGTTATTATATGCATTCTAGGTTTTATTACGAGTTTAGTGTCGTTTTTGTTTAAGAAGATTATAATCACTTGACACATTTTTGAGAATTTTTGTTACTTGACACTTTGACTGAAAGTTTTGTTAAATACCACTTGTTACCAGAGTTTTAACATCTCGTCATGAATGTACAACCTAAACCGTGGTAGATGGTTAAACACATTATTTACGTTTCTAATCAGTTACCACTTACCACCGTATTCAGACATTAAATATTTAATTGGTTAAGATAATTTTCTTTAAGCCTGTAATTGTTTTTTGTCTTTTTTAGTTAGCGTTATAATTGATGTGTGGGGTCGAGCGCCGAGGTTGAACAAATGGGGCGCACGATCGTTTCCCACTACAATTTTTTATTTAGAAAGATGAATTGTTGAATCAGAATTTATTGAATATAAAACAGTAGTATAAAATAATTCATACGCAGTATTCATTGGATCGAAATTAAGGATAGTTTTTGCGTAACAAGAAATAAAATAGCTACTCAAAACTGTACACCGAATATTTAAACAAATGACACAGGAGAAATTTATAAACATTTATTAGTCATTTAAATAACAGAATACCTGTGCCGTAAAAAAAAGTGAATTATCCAAAGAGATTGAATTAGAAACTTTACTGGCTGATTGTATGCGTTAGTCTATTCAAACACCTCAACAAGATCACTTTAAATTTTGAATGACTTTTTCAAGGGGAAACACATGATTATAGTTTTAAATGTTTCAATCATATTTTTTTGTCAATGATTTCATGACATTATATAATATTACGTGAATAATTAGTCGTTCAACTCGTTGAATAAGCGTTAGCTTATATATTTGATAGAGTGCAGTTTCTTATATACATAACACACACGCAACTTAATTATAGATTAATCAAAGCTTACTAACTCAATGTTACTTCTTACTAGTTGTAGGCTTGTAGCCATATTAGCACAAAGTTATGTGTCTATATATATTTCTATGACTCAACATGGCAAACTAAACAATATCTTCCCGGCCAGCTCCTTATCATATCATCCATTGTCTGATGTAAAGGTTAATCAGCTTGTAATGTAAAACTTTATTTCTTAAATATGCATTTAATCAAATTATATTACATCCTAAAGAAAACACCTAAGAATTGTCTAAACTCAAAAGTCGTTTATTTAGTCTATTATACTGTTCGTTTTGTTATACTCAACAACTCTCAACTAAAACAATATATATATAGACATAACAAAAATATATTTATTGATTAGTCTAATTGGGGTTAGACAAAAAGACAAAGGGTAGTTGAACTCCTCGGGACTACGTACACAATATTGAAATAAGAAAAGAAAAGCATTGGGTGTGTAAAATATAAATTGTAACAATTGGAGTATAATGTGAATGTATTTTTTATTTATAAACTTTCACAAGTCTTAATTAACTCTTCCACCCATTAACAAATACGAATAATTGATTGAGTACTTTAGTTAACACTTGTAGTTCACTCTTTTCATTTAAAAGGTCTTACTATATGCGGTATGAAGTTTAACTAGAAGAGACTACAAAACATTAAATAAATGGATAGTGTTATTCCACAAGAAGACATTGTCCAACAATTAATTGAAGCCATATAAGTTCCAAAAAAAAAAACCTCAGAAACTTAAATATATTGTGGAAATCCTCTTGATCGTGTAGTTTCATTAATGATTTCTCAATGTTTATACACTAAAATTTTTAAGTTTCAATTATCAGAGAAAACGAATTATACAAAATATTAGAGAAAAAATTTACAAGATATCTGTAAAATGTACTACTGAATACTATCGGGAATGAATTTCATAAAATGACTTGTGGTGATCCAGTTAGACGTGAATACTCATAAGCTATATAGAATTGTCGACTATAATATCATCTATGTAATGCTTTTTATAGTTTGTAATGCATAATTATTGATTTTTAAAAAAAATTAAAATTTTAAAATAACTTGGTATATTGCATTAACCCATTTAAAAATAAGTGTTCATACTCACATATATAAGACCATGATTAATTTCGGTTTCTTAATTGGAGTTTTTAGCTTCGGCTAAGATACGATTTTAACTTTTAACTAAGAAAAATTAAGAACAATATCTTAAATAAGAGATATAAGAGACGTCTTTTATTCGAAAAAATGTTAAATAAGGTGTCAAAACATAAGTTAAGAAACCACCAGAAGTTAATCATGGGTTAAGGCCTAGATCTAATTTAAACATTTTAAGTTATTATTATTGTTTAATGCCCAAAACCATCTGGGCCAAGAGTCTGTAAAGAAGGCCCATAACGCGAAATATAATTCAATCCCGGTGTCCCCTCTGATTAACTTCTTCTCCGTCGACGAATCGAAGAGAGAGAGAGATTGAGAGATTATGACGGACAATATCTTCGAAGGTCTACCTCCTCCGTCTTCTCAACACCATCAAAACATTCCGAATCCTCCAAATCCAGACGAGTCGAAACATGAAAGTCCCTCTCCAGCTCCAACTCTTGTTCTCAAAAGCTCCCTGAAGCGATCTAAACCGGTAGAATCAGCACCCGATGTCTCTGGTAAAACTCTCCACTTTCTAATCTATCTTGTCTGAATTCGATTCATAATAGACACTTAGTGGACCCTACCGTGTTTTCTAAGTTTTGGTCGGAAAGTTTAGTTTTTTTTTTCCGGAAAGTTTCTTGATTGAGAGTTTCTCTTATGCCCTAAATGTTACGCCTTTGAACTTAAAAATCAAAACTTTAATGTTGTTATGACTGATCTGACTAAAAGCTCAAATTTTACAGCTCCTCCTGTTCTCAAGAGCGCACTAAAGCGGTCAAAACCAGCAGAATCTACGCCGGAACCAGAACCGGAAGGTAACATATGTCTTAGTCTGAGCGTTAGGCAATGATGTTTGGTTATCACTTTTGATAACTTTGATCAGTTTTCTTCTTTAATGTTTGAGTTGCAGCAGTTCCTAAAAGACGTCTACAGTTTAAGACATCGACGGATGCATCAGAGGAGCAAGTGATAGAAGCGATGCAGAAGATAACTTCTCACATCAAGAACCCTTCTAAATTCTCCAAAGCTTCAAAGCTTGCGATACGTCTGATTCAAGCTGGAAGTGTGAAGCCTGATACTACCAGTTACTTCATTGCGATGCTTGAAGCTGCCATGTCATCGAAAACTCCTTGTACTGATCGGTTGGTTAGAGCAGATTATCATGCATTGTTCTCATCAGCTCAGGATGTGGCCGAGGTAAATAAACATATTAGATTAAATGTGTAAAACTAAATACTGATGCATGTTTCTATGTTTTGTTCTCATGTAGTGCCTTGATAAAAGCCAGAAGAATCTGTTGACCATATGGACGATTAAAGCAGTTGTGGCTAATGATCTCTTTACTGATGACAGCTTTATGGTAAGTAAGGCTCTACATACCTTCTTTCAATAGATTGCTTCGTCACTGTGTTATGACCTGTAATGTGTATATTATTGTCTATCATAGTGTAACATATTAGATTTTTTTTTTTTTGTTTTAGTTTTCCAAGACTGCTACTCAAATAAAGGAGGCTATATCTGATCTTCCTGTAGCAACTGAGGAAGATGACGCGGAAGAAGCAGCTGCTCTTGAACAAGAGGCTGTGAAGGAGAGTGGAGATGGGGAGACAACACAGGACGTGGATGAAGCTGCTTCACCTGGAGATCAAGAAGGTGTTGAGTCAGATCCCTTTGGGCTGGATGCATTGATTCCTAATTGTGGGAAGAAAAATGGTAAAACAAAGATGACTAAAGAAGATACAGATGCCTTGGAGAATAAGAAATTTCTTAGGTCAAAAAGAGAAGCTTTGATTACATGTCTGGAGATCGCTGCTCGCCGTTACAAAGTTCCATGGTAAGAGTCCTTCCATGATTCATATATTCCCTTTGGAATTGTTATTGTTTTTAATTGATTGGATTCATTTTTCAGGTGCCAGACAGTTATAGACATATTAGTGAAACATGCGTTTGAGAACGTGTCAAGGTTTACATCACAGCAGAGACAAGCAGTGGAGAAACTATGGGCTTCTGTTAGAGAACAACATCTCCGTAGGAAGCAAGGCAAGTCAGTGACGGGAAAACTTGATGTTACTGCTTTCGAAAGTCTTCAGGACAAATACGCCAACGAGAAAATGAGCATCCGGAAATCGGTTGGAGCCAACGGTGAACGCCGTGCACAGCAATGGCTTGGTTAATAAAACATTCATCAAAACCAAAAGTGTAATTTGTATGATTTTCAACACTAAGACAGGAAGTAGAAAGCAAATAGAGAAAATATTTGCTCTGTTTCTTCTGATTGTGTCTTGATACGAAAAGTTTTCATCCTTGTTCAAAAAGTTTTTATCTAACCGCCTTAATGTATCTCAGGCATATAAAATAACCGGCTGGCAAATGAAACAACTAAACCAATATAGAAATACAATTGAAATAACCAAAACCAAATATGATGAGCCAGTGATAGATAATTGTGGTTTTTATTCACATTGATTTACACATCTACAAGGTTTGTCAAGCATATCCTTTTGTAGCTAGTTTTAAGTGATCTTTTGCTCCTACTGTTGCAGCAATGTAGTCTTTGCATTTCGGCATGTGGGGACTAGTAACGTATATAACAACTCATCAACACAAACAGTCAAAACTTGGTAACCCACAGAGATACAATTACCATTTACCAGAGTTTGGTACAGCTAGCCCATTAGATCTAAAGTCCTCTTGGTATGAGCCCAATAAAAACTCCATTGTTTAATTCACAATGGCCCAACCATAACCCTCCTTATCATGCATTTTCTCTCAAAATTTCGACGTAGTCGGGTTATATAGCATTAGATCGGATTCAAATTTCGACGTAAATGGCACACCACGATCTCTCAAGATCATTTTTATTCCGAGTCGTTACAAAATGTTTTCAGACTACATCCTCTAAACCGAAACTCAAACCGTAGGATTATTACGTACGTTTGACCTACTCGAATGGAGCATCATATACATCGATATCACCACTCTTTTAACTCTAAAACTTCGAAACCAGATAGAGAGTCTCAGTTAATTGCTTTGTAAGTTTCCAACGTTCATGAACCATGCATGACCTGCAATTTTTCAAAATATTAAATAATTTATAAATATTTTCAAATTTTCAAAAAAACTGACTTACGAAGAGCATCTTCCGCTGAAAATCTCCGGGAAACATCGCGACAAATCATTCTCCTCAAAAGATCCTTAGCATCTCCCGATACCGATTCAAACACCTTCCGCGGAAACCTAAGATTCCCTCTCAATATCGTCTCGAATATCTCCTCCGCACTCTCTCCATTAAACGGCGGCTCTCCCGCCAACATAGTATATATCAAAACTCCCGCGCTCCACACATCCACCTTCTCCTCATACCTCCTCCCCATAACAACCTCCGGCGCTAAATAATACGGCGTCCCTACAACTCCCTCCGTTTTCTCTCCGCCTAGCCACACCGCCGATCCGAAATCGCAGAGCTTAACTCCGCCGGAGTTAAGATCGATTAAAACGTTGTCAGGCTTCACGTCGCGGTGAACCACGCCGCGACGGTGACAGTGAACGAGCGCGCGGAGGATCTTCCTCGCGTACGATGCGGATTCCGATTCGGTTAGCCTCCCTCCGACGACGGAGATCATCCGATCGTAGATCGTCATCGGAGGATCCACGAGCTCCATGACGATCGCGAGAGTTTCCTCCGTTTCGAAGAGGTCGTAGATCCTGACGATGTTCGGATGCGGCGGAAGCATCGCCATGATCCGAGGCTCCGTCGTGATACACTCGCGGTCGAGTGCGTCGACGAGCACGCGCTTGTCGATCGTTTTGCACGCGTAGAATTGTTTAGTCGCGGGGGAGAAGCAGCGAGTGATTGTTCCGAATCTTCCTCGGCCGATCTCGTCGCAGATCTTGTAACGGTTTTCGAGTTCGAATTCTCCGGTCATCGGAATATTCTGTTTGATTGATGATTCTCTTAAGGGGTGAGAGAGAGGAGATGGTTGTTATATAGAGGAAGAGAATCTGAATACTAAATGGAGTATATTCCGTTTAAACTGTTTTCTGTTTTAACCGTTGACAGTCAAAAGTCAAGCAAGTGAATAACAGACTGTAGTTAACTAACGGCGACGTTAGCCACCTCCACGTGTTAATTTTCTCTTTCGATTATGAAATTATTTGTTGGAGAACTATAGAAGTAAAAACAACTCTAATGTGTGTGATTTGTATCAAATATTTGTTTATGGAGTCTACATAAAATAATATAATTCGACGAGTCGAATTACATGAGTAGAACGCATAAATCATGATCATCATGTCCTTATTATAAAGAAATCATTTTATTATATAGTTAATTTATAAGCGACGGAGATTAAACAAAAGTCGTGTTCTAGATGTGATTATGCGAATATATAAGTTAAGACGTCAAGTAGTTTTCAGATAAAATTTATTATAAGCTCGATGATAGTTAAATGTCGAACCATTATAGAATGTGCATGTGGCATGCTTTCAGGACTCTAGCTAATGGATGTGTTGTTTTGATTAAGTAAATCGTTATTTATTTAACGCATTATTGATTCATCATCTAGAGGTTGGTAAGATTCCTGGTTTAGTAGAGTTTGGTTACTTCTTCTTTGTGGTGGTGTGATTTGTGTCGTCTTCACGAATTCTTTAAGCCTGTAGGTTTGTCCACATTTTTATAATTATATATCTAGGTGTTGTATATATATTTGTCAGGCCAACATATTTAAGAATATGCTAGTATGGATTGAGAACACACACATATATAAATAATTTTCCGGTTACCTTTTATTTTTTAATCAGAATGACTAACTAAACCGCATTATCTTTGTGACTAACATTTTTATACGGAGATCAAGGTAGTTGACTTTTCAATAAAAAAATAGTTGACTCGTCGGCTATAAAATGAATGTATATGTAATTTTCTATTGTAATACATGGTCAAGTATACCTAAAAATAATGATATATCTCGATTAAATAATTGATAGTAGGGTTAATACTTAATAGTTCAACTTTAGTCCGTTTTGATAACTCGAAAGAATATTCATTTTGCATTTTTTTTGTTATTCAGGTAAACGTATTCATATACCGTTCATTCAGAAACATTGAGACATCAACATTAAACATTAATATACATACCATCACATCATCACTGATCGAAGCATGTGATTGATTGATAAACAAAAGAGAATTAGAGTGATGTATTTGATGATTTGGTTACCTATGTAAACACCAGATAATGTTGATCTCGTGCTAACGAAAATAAACACTTGTCTTGCTCTCATTAGTAACTAATAATGCAATCATCTTGATATAAAATATGAGATTGCTTTGGAGGATATGGATGCCGCCATCAGATTTTCCAAAACAGCTGACGCATACAATTTCTAGTGACCCAAGCCACCCAACTGTGTATATTAGAATAATGATATGGCATTTTTACATTACATATAAAAGTAGAGAATTTGTATATGATGTATTTAAGGAACTCTATATATTTAAACTGAGTAATATTTAATTTGTTATGTTAATTCCATGCATACATATGTAATAACACATATTTGTTACATGTCCTTTTAATGTATTTTCCAAAATTTGAATAATTGGAAACAAAAATTAACTTGTGAACAGAAACAAGAATCTTAAATAATTATACTGAATGGCTAACACTTTTTTACAAAGTTTATAAGATTGTTGGTGTCTGAAACCAATTTACACGCATTAATACTAACATCACTTCAAAAAGGTGCTATTCTTAAGAAGAATCAGTTCAAAAAAAATAATAACATCACTTTCTGGTTAAATAATTGAAAAGTTACAATAGTATATATATCCGTGACGTAAGTATCCAACTGATAATTTTTTATATAATTTATAGTCACTTATATGATAAAAGATTAGGCAGAAATGTTACTAACTTTACTTTACCAGTTTGTCAATATGCATCCAACATGTATTTTGGTTGGACCGATCTTCTTTGTCTCAGATTCCCTGTTTTCATTCCGTAATCGATTAGATCACTCACTCACACTTCAACTTGAGTCACAAACTTGAAACACATATCTTATCGTCTCTCATCAAGAACAAATTAAAAGGTATATGCCTAACATCTCAAAAAATCTTGGTATGATTAAGTACATAGTTATATAACTTATATATGATTCTAATATGATTTTTTTGTTTCAGTCATCAAGATGGTAACGCCAGTTATGAGAACCGTTGATCTCCGGTCCGACACGGTGACTAAGCCAACTGAGTCCATGCGTTCAGCTATGGCAAACGCGGAAGTAGACGACGACGTTTTGGGGAACGATCCAACCGCAGTGCTTTTGGAAAGAGAGGTGGCTGAGATCGCAGGAAAAGAGGCGGCCATGTTTGTTCCATCAGGGACAATGGGGAATCTGATAAGTGTGTTGGTCCATTGTGATGAAAGAGGGAGTGAAGTGATTCTTGGAGATGACTCTCACATTCATATTTATGAAAACGGTGGCGTTTCTAGCCTCGGTGGAGTGCACCCTAGAACGGTGAAGAATGAAGAGGATGGGACGATGGAGATTAGTTCTATTGAAGCTGCCGTGAGGAGTCCCAAAGGAGATCTCCATTATCCGGTTACTAAGCTTATATGTCTTGAGAACACTCAAGCAAAGTAAGTTTTTCTTAGTAACATTATCAAATAAAAAAAAAAACAAATTAACCTTACTTAGTGTTTTGTGTGTTGAAGTGATAATAAGAATTATTAGTAGCCAAGTGGTTTCCTATTCACTGAACGATGTTAGGTGTTAAAGGTTTAGTTTATGTTTCATTTTAGGAGATTTTGTTGGTTATTGCGGTCATGGTTAGACTGAAAAACCGGTTTGATTCTTTAATGATTCTAGACATTATGATTTGATAGAACCGGAATTTCTTGATGCAGTTGTGGAGGTAGATGCTTGCCTATAGAATATATAGACAAGGTCGGAGTGTTAGCCAAGAAACATGGCTTGAAGCTTCACATCGATGGAGCTCGTATCTTCAACGCTTCTGTTGTTAGTACACAAACATTTTCAATATATAATTCATTTTATATGTATTTTTGTTGAATTTTTCACTCAAATGCATGTTGTCAATGCTTTGAAGTATACGAGTTCATAATTTCGATCTTGATTAGGCCCTTGGAGTACCGGTGAAGAGGATTGTTCAGGCAGCTGATTCTGTCTCGGTATAAGTCATCAAAACCATGCTATGTAACGTTATATGTATTGAAAATATTATTGAGTTCTAACCGGTCACTTTTTTTTTTTTTTTTTTTTTAACCGGTCACTTTGATGTGCTAGATTTGTTTGTCGAAAGGCATAGGTGCACCGGTTGGTTCGGTGATTGTGGGAAGCAAGAGTTTTATCACTAAAGTAAGTTGTAGCTATGAACCAGATTGAGATGGTAAAATAGCAATTGTAGTTCCGGTTAAAGTGTTTAATTTGCATGCAGGCAAGGTGGTTGAGGAAAACATTAGGTGGAGGAATGAGACAGATTGGTGTGCTCTGTGCCGCCGCATTAGTGGCTCTCCGTGAAAACGTTGCCAAGCTCGAGGATGACCACAAGAAAGCCAAGATCTTGGCAGGTGATCATTGCCCGGTTTAGTTTCTCAAAATTTAATGTGAGAGAGTTATTAACCTATTGGTTTTGGTTTCCTACATTGCCAGAAGGACTGAACCGGATTGAACGGTTAAGAGTGAACGTAGCGGCAGTAGAAACAAACATTGTAAGTGTCTGAAGTAAATGGTTAATTAATGTGTTCAATGGAATCTAGTTTTTGAAGCCGACTGCTTTAAGTTTTTATTTTCATCTGTTTTCGTTATAATACAAAGTTTTATTGGCAGATATACATAGATCTACCAGAAGATCCTAAGTTTGGAGCTGAAGACGCATGTAAGAGTTTGGAAATTCTCGGTGTGCTTGTTATACCTCAAACTACATTCAGGTACACAATTATAATTGAATTTACTTGTTATATAATTCTTTTTGGTTCGACATATTGTTTTGGGTTTATATGAGTCTGTCTCTGTTCGAAAAAAGCAATGGGTTAATAACATTTTTTGCTAAGAAACTGGTGAATAACTTTGAGTTTATGTTTTGTGTATATATATACAGAATCAGGATTGTTCTGCACCATCAAATCTCTGATAGCGATTCTGATTATGTGCTCTCTTGTTTTGAGGTTAATTTGCTTTCGAAATCCATTTATACGTGCTTTTATATATTTCATTTCTTTGTCACGCTGTTAAATTCTTGGACTAAATGCTTCTTAATCCTTTTTCAGAAACTGTTTAGCTCGGTGCCAGAAGAGAAGGCTTGATTTGAAGTAATTCACGTGTTGGACTATGTCATATATTTACTTGAATCTATTTTCTTGGTTTACAAATTGAAGCCTTTTGGTCAAGCGATAGACAAAAAAATCTTATTGTAATTCAAGTTTGGGCTCTAATAAAATTCGAAATGTTAAGATTGATGATGAAACATTCTGTCATTAACAACAAGACAAAAAGTTGTTTATATCCATTGGTCCACCATGTCTTCACGAGCATCGCTGGAAACATCTAGACAAATAGTTGTTTTAGACAAATAACTAAATTAAATACGTTTCTCTTCTTGGTGTAAAAAACAACTTGGATAAAAAAAACAAAGAATGGAAAGGTTTTATAATACAACAAACGTGATGTCGATATCAAATCATTCTACTACTAGGTTTTGCCAGTAAGCCTAACCCTATATATGTGATTTATCGCTACTTTCATGTAATTTAATTTCTTCAATCTGTAGTGTGTAGAGAAGGATGAGCGGATAAGGAGACATGCTACTTATAATTACGAGCTGCGTAAAAATAACAGATATTTTCATATATAATTGGATCATGTATATGCAAGTAATCCATATCATGTTCATCATATATTCCTCAGTAAATACATCTTATCTTTGATAAATAGCTACTGGATACTAATAGTTTTGCCCACCAAAAATAGCTAGACAATACTAGTAATGTTTTTGATAATTGAATATATATATAGTATGTGTTACAAAAAAAAAAGAATATATATATAGTACAATACTATGTAGCCAAAATTTTGTTTCTGATGGTACTTCAATTGAAATAGAAAGTTATTGAGAAATTCAATCAAGTAGATGAATCGTCTATTAATGCGTTTGTTATGTCAATTTCAAAAGTATGTTCTTCGACTTCAATAGCTTCTGTACAAAAAGATTGAAAAACGTTTTACTATTAACTAACACGTTTGAAATAGTCATATTTGCATTTTATATTTTTGGTCAAGTAAATCAAAGATGTTTGCCAGATTGTTTTTTTTTTTTTGGAAGGCTTTAAGTTGAACTATTAATCAAAACGTATGTTGTTTAACAAAAAAAAAAACAAATCTAAACGTATATGTCCGAGACAACAATAAAACCCTACATCTTATAAATAACCATGATTTCATGAGTGGGAAAATGAGCTATTAAACGGTTGTTTCTAAAACTTGTATATAATAAGTAAACAATTATAATATACTTTTTTAGTTCAACAATATATATGTTTAGCAACCAATTGGTTTCTATCATATCATATATTTTAGATAAATCACCTTTGTGAAACAATATTTTTTAGAGGGTTTTAATATGCTCTTTGGCCACATGTGTAAAATTAATTACCAATCAAAACAATAATTTTAATTTAGCGTGCAAATGAATAAGACTATATAAGTAATAATCTTTTTTTGTCAACGACTATATAAGTAATATAAATATACAAATATTAATTTAATAAAGCACTAAATTATATGTTGTAATAAACTATATAAATTTTCTTTTTCAGAAAATAAAATGTGCAACCTAAACCAGAAATATCAGCAATTATTCCACATGTGAACTTTGGTCTGGAATCAATCAAAGATTAAAAGTATTGAAAATGTTGTCCAATAAAACAAGTATTGAAAATATGGACATAAGAAAATCAAGAAAAGATTTGTGTCTCCCTTCTTCAGTTGACCGACCCATTGGTCTCCGTCTCTCTCTTACCTAAAGAGTTATCCCTTTACTCACTGTGTAACACAAGGTACTCTTCTCCTATTTCTCTTCTTTTTGTGTCTTAAATGGCAAATTTATGATCTCTGATGACCAGTCTCACGACTTATTATGTCCATTTCTCTCTCTCTATAAATGAGCCAATGATGTGTACGCAGCTATATATATGGACAACTGTGAATGCATTTTGCCATCCATCTTCTCTATGTATGGTAGAAAAGAGGGAAAAAACACAAAACAATAGTAGAAAATAATAATTAAGAAAAGGAAAGAGATCCCTTTTTTTTTTTTTTTTTATCTCTTTTCTACTTATATCTCTGATCTTCAAAAGAAGAAAGATAAATCTCTTCATTAGGTTGTTTCTCTTTGCCTCACCATTTCTGCACAACATCCACTATCACCATCATTTTGTAACATCTAGTACAAGGAGGTATCCAAGTCCTCACTCTTCTCCCTCTTTAATTATTATGTAATTAGTAAGCTAAGACGTTAAATCCATCTTAGCTATAAAGTTTCTAAAAACCTAATTTCTGGTGCCCTAAAACTTTCAAAATCCCAAAAAAAAAAATTATCCAACCCTAGTTTCTTTTAAATCTATGGATTTGATCTCTCAAGATAACAATAATAAGAACCCTAATACAACTCTCTCGACACAACATGCCTCTCCTCCACCTACCTTTAGCCGCTACGAGAATCAGAAACGCCGTGATTGGAACACTTTCTGCCAATACCTTAGAAACCATCGTCCACCGCTCTCTCCAGCGTCTTGCAGCGGCGCACACGTTCTCGAGTTTTTGCGTTACCTTGACCAGTTCGGGAAAACCAAAGTCCACCACCAAAACTGCGTCTTCTTTGGCCTCACAAACCCTCCGGCTCCATGTCCTTGTCCTCTCAGACAAGCTTGGGGCTCACTTGACGCACTTATCGGTCGTCTCCGTGCCGCCTACGAAGAGAACGGTGGAGCTCCCGAGACTAGCCCTTTTGGCTCACGTTCTGTCAGGATTTTCCTCAGGGAGGTTAGAGATTTTCAGGCTAAATCACGTGGCGTTAGCTATGAGAAGAAGAGGAAAAGGGTCAACAACAAACAAATAACTCAGTCGCATTCGCAGCCGCAGCAGCAAGATCAGTCTATGATGGCTAATTACCACAACGGTGCAACTTGAGGATATCGTACAACTTTACATGTACGTATCTAGCTGTTTATACGTACCAACCTTTGTATTTTGTGTAATGGTATCCCTGTTTTACGATCCAGCCACTGTTTTCTACTGTTTCTTGGACTCTCGTTTAGTCTTTTTTTTTTCATAATCAATAAATGGAAACAAAGTTGGATTGTATTGTATTTGGTCTTTAATTAAAGGCCTCTTTGTGCATCATAATTGCCATAGATATACATACGTGGGATGGGTCAATGTTTTATAAATTTCGACCTAGACGATAGAATATCTATTTTTTTTTTTGCGAGCCAAAGCTAGCTTGAGAATGATTTTGATACACAATTGAGAAGTTAATTTCATATACTCTAGACACCTTAATTGTTGGGTAGATTATATATATTATAGCTATATATACTGCACGTTTCGAACTTTTTCGATATTTAATTGTTGTAGACTCTTAGGGTTTAATTGATATTTATACTATGCATGCACATACGCATAAGATTCGATTTCTATCTTTTAAAAGGTGATGTTGAAAGTTCCATTATTTTGCTGATAAAGAAAAGAAAAAGAAGTAAAGAACTGCAGGTTTTGGTTTTAATGCTAATACATGTTACCTAACCCTATTTACGGGTTTTCTTAATCTTCATGAATCATGGGTCTTATTTTACCTTTGTTATATGGTACTCACAGCTCACCGTCAACTTTCTGTTCATATAGAATCATAATTCTGTTCACGTATACTGCAGCCTAGTATCCATTTAATAACAACTTAGCTTATTACATACTATCTTTTATGACTTGACGAGAGAAGTTATTAAACTAACGTAAACAGACTCATTGGCGACTGAACCTGCTCTGAGACTTTGATGCATATATAAAGAAATAGAGAACTGAGCTTACAGAGACGTGTAGATATAACTTGCTAGCAGTTTGATAAGGACCCGTTTAACATTCGCAAAAATATAGAATGCATGTTTTAGTTCTTAGTCTTGTTTTCTTTCTTGGGCAACGTTCTTAGTCTGTCATGGCAAATGTTTACATATAGAAATATAGATAGGTGGAGAAACGAATAAAAAAGATTTTACGTATTCATGTGTATTTTGTTATTTCTATCCAATTTGAAATTCACTGAACATGATTGTATGAAGAGAATGTTAAGCACACTATAGGTTTAAAGGTAACTCTAAAGCTGATCTATTATTACAACAAGACAAAACAAGTTCATATTGTCAAATTATTGAAGACAGCTAATCTTGTGACAAAAAATTCTTATTAGCCGAACTTGGATTTGACACATTCAGAATATTTTTATATATATTTAGCCATGTATTCGAATAGATTGTTTTCTCTTGCTAAAATCATAATAATTGGTGTTACTATACCGTTAATGTGGCAGTGAACAAATATATTATTTTCAGAATTATTTTTGAATATTTCCCTCGTAAATATCTTCTCTATTAAAAGAGAAGTACCATTTACATCTACTACAAAAAAGTCATGTTGGACCATTTCATTAATATGATATATTTATACTAATCAATCAAATATATATAATTGGAGGAATATTTTAATAATTAATAAGATATTAGTAATAAATTTGTTGAGAAAATATCTTTTTTTTTTTGATCAACGTTGAGAAAATATCTAACAAGATCTTACTAAGAAGTTTAAATATTTTTATAAAATATGCATTATTTAATTTCGTGATTAATATATATAAATATCTATATTACTGTTAATTAAAATAAAAATTGTTATATTTTATAATTTAGTTATATTCTATATTATATTGAAATAAAATGCTATGTGAAATGAATATAAAATATATTAAATTGGTAAAAGGAAAATATTTTGTTTTAAAAATTTTCTTTCATTCAAATAAATAAATAAATATCGCTCCCTTTTAAAACATATTAAATTTTTTAAATCATAGAACATTTTTTTTTACAAAAAAATGTTAACATATATTTTTGTAACTTACAACAAATACTTTATATAGTAAATTATATATAAATATTTTTTTATTTTAAAACTTACAACAATATATTATATAAAAATAATTAAAATTATACAATTATACAATATATAACAATAGAATATAAATCATATATATTTGAAAATTTTGTTATATTTTTATAAAATGAAAAAATACCCACACGGATGTGCGGGTTCAAAATCTAGTATGTCTTTAAAAGCCATTCAACAACATAATTGTTGTTCTATGTTTTTTATATATGACAACTGAGTGATAAGTGACCATTTGAATCAAAATTTCATTTATTTTAAAAAATATTTTTGTTAAGTGCGTATTTGTAACAAAACTAGCTAGTCTTGTATGAATCGCTTATATAGCAAATTAGCAATATTGCACTAGTGATGAAAACACACGGTTCAAACAGTATCTAATCGAGTTTCCAAGTGACATATAAACTGAATTAGTTACCAAACACGTTGTCTAATGTTTTCTTTAACTCTTAACAATCAATCGAACGGTTAACATCAAAAAGAAAAGACAAAGTGTAACCTGTTTGCGTCACGTGTGTATCTCTGACATTAGTAAAAGCTTCGTAGAATAGTCATGGCGTCGAGTTATAAAAATCGTATAGACTCGTTTCTGTGTGATTGCCTATGGCTATTGAACCACGTGGACGAATGAAACTTGTGCTTCCGTACGAGGTAGGGTTTGTAGCGGTAAGAAATAGCATTAAATGAAATTATTATTTTTTGCTTTATTTGGCAAAACCTGTTGATCTTTCACTATTTGGGAGGGGCCACGTCTTTAATAGTTAGTGTTCTAGACCCACTTGCATTTTCATTTCAGAGTCTTCCACATTTGTACAGAATCGCTCGTATATAAATAAATACTCCAATTAAATGCGACTACAATTTTGGATTGTTGACCAGATTCTTTCTAAGTCTTTCCAGGATTTGTGTTAAAAAAAACTAGCAAGGAATTTTTTTTTGTAAAAAATCGAATTTGAAAGTAGCACTGATAAAAAACGACTTACATTCAGGGCCGGATTTGAGAATTATGGGGTCTAAGGCGATTTTTGAACGATTTCACCTAAAAAAATTTTTCTACGGATTTGGGGGCCTAAAAATTTTTTTTTTGGGGGGCCTGTATACATGTAAACTTTTCAAAAAAATTTGGGGGCCGAGGCTAATGTTTCATCCGGCTTTGCCCAACGCCGGCCCTGCTTACATTGATAAAAAGGTTAGTAGAAAATGATTAGGTTTACAAAAATAAACTGTATTGAAGATACCTCAATTTGTTTTTTTTTAATATATATGATCAATTATTAAGTTGACTATCTCAAACCATGAAAAATATATATCAAAATACCTAATTATAATGTTTTTGGTTAGGATGTAAAAAAGTGACTTTAAATTTAATTTCCATTCATAACCATAAAAGTTATCTATCATATTTTATCTAGTTTTTAAAGTTAAAATTAAAAAACCAAAAAATAGCTGTAACACTTTAATTTCTAAAGCATCATTTTCTATATTATAGAAAAAAATATTGATGCAGAAATATCTTTTTATTTTTGTTATTTTTTCATTTAATATTAATGTAGAAATATTTGACAAAATTCTACAATAAAACTCTTACAACTACATCATCACGACCAATTGTCCCCATAATTAAGCTTCCATTTGATTTGAAAAAACACAGTTACATAAACCCCTAGATAGAACACTACTGAACCAGGTTTAAACCGGTTTTAATGCATCTTTAGTTGCTAAAAAAAACCCGGTTTAGCTACTTACTCCACTCTGCTGGTTTTCTATTATTAAAGAAACTAACAGGCTCGGCCCATATATATAAAGCCCATCTCTAGAATTTTCTAGTTAAAAACCTTATTACATCTGAATAACAAGAATTTTAAGAAGAAAAAAAAAAACAAATTTAGTCTTCATCGATCCTCTTTGTCTGAAAACCTTTCGTTCCGCGATTCATCGGCGTTTTCCTTAACCCTCGACGACCTCTCTCCGATGTCATTCCCACAGTCTTCAGCTTCCTCTTCATCATCATCTTCCGCCTCTCAGTACACATACACTTCTAACTCCTACTATTCCGCGCCTTACCAGCCTCCACAGCCCTTCGTAGCTCCGTCGCCTGCTCCAGCGCCTCCGGTTGCTACCATTCCCGGAGCTACCGTCTATCCTCAGCCAATTGGTCCCGTTCCCGCCGTGTACTCTTACCCTCAGTATCAGGCTAGTAGGAATTTCAAAAAATTCGAAGGATTGTTAGCGTTTTTGGGAATTTGAGATTCGAATTAGGGTTTTTCGAAATTTTTCTGCTTTGACTTTAATTTGTGTTGATTTTGTGATGATTGTTATGAAAGTTTGAATCTTTATGAACGAATCTCACGTGATTTACAGTTAAAGCTTTGACCTTTGTTTTTTTTGTTTTGTTTTTTTGTTTTGTTTTTGTTTTTGTGTGTGTTTTGTGTGATATTTATGATTTAATGTTGTGTGTAATGTTGGCAGGCGCATCAGTTGTTTCAGAGAGATGCACAAACCATCACACCAGAGGCGCTTGAGAATGTGAAGGCTGCTTTGGCTAGTAGCGAAACAGAACACAAAGCTGAAACTAAGAAGAGAGCTATTCCTCGTAAAGCTGCTGGACAGTCTTGGGAGGATCCTACTCTTGCTGAGTGGCCTGAAAGTAAGCAATACTCTTTTTTTTTTTCTTTGAGTTCTCTGATTGTTTTTTTAAGTTTGGAGATTGTGTTAGAGTTGTTTAGAGATAGGCTTTGGATGTTCTTTGCTCTTTTGTTAGAATTTGATTTCTTACAAATTTTCTGTTTCACATTTGCCAGATGACTATCGCTTGTTTTGTGGTGATCTTGGGAATGAAGTAAATGATGATGTTCTTTCCAAGGCGTTTGCTCGATTCCCCACCTTCAATATGGCCAAGGTAAGTGTGTATAATCTCTCTCTCTTCCTTTTCTGTTTTCTGTGATGATTCTTTTGATTTTTTATGAATATATATTGAGCAAGAAGTCATTTGATAGCAGTAAATTTGATTTCTTCTAGTTGGTTGGACTGCTAAGAATGTCGACTGTTATGCATGTGTGTTTTGTTCAGAACATAGTCGACCTTAGATATAGGGATCATGACTACTTAATTCAGAAAGAGATGTATTCAGTGTGAGTTTTTTTTGTGGTGAATCCTTTACAAACATAAGAATCTTATCTACCGTGACAGGTCATCAGAGATAAGCGGACTGGTAAAACCAAGGGTTATGGGTTTGTGAGTTTTTTAAATCCTGCTGATCTTGCTGCGGCCCTAAAAGAAATGAATGGTAAGCATCTGGTTTTGGTATCTGTTTGATGTCTTGCTTCGTCTTGACTCTTGATATATTATTTCACTGTTTTTTTCTTCAGAGCTTGTTATATGTTTCTGTTATGTAATCACTGCCACTGAACAACTTATTGAAGTCAATTGGTTTCCTATGAGAATACAGGTAAATATGTTGGGAATCGTCCAATAAAATTAAGAAAGAGCAGCTGGAAAGAGAGAACAGATCAGGAGGCTGCAGAAAGACAAAAGGCAAGTCTCTTGATAAATTGGCAAATGATATTTTTTTATGATCAAGTTGATTCTTGATTTTAAACTTGATGGTTCTCTTTTTTTTTTGGATTTTAAATGCAGCATCACAGCAATAAGAAGCAAAAGACAGTGAAGAAGAAGAGTGTACTCCACAAGTGAACAATAGATTGCATTTTGAAGGCTTATATGCCAAGAAATAATAGAGGGTGTTTGAACTTTACCTTTGATATTTAACCAATTGAGTTGGAATAGACTATCATCTTATAAGAAAGAAAAATTAATTAAACTTGAATTTATTTCTTTAATTATTTGAGGATTTATATGTTGTAAATCTTTGTGCTACTAGTATTTTACCTTTTTGATCTGTTCTACAATGATTATCGAGTTAACAATAACATGGATTAAAAACTGTGAGGTTTTGTTTAACCAAATTAAATTTACTAAAAAGCATTTTAAATTATAATGTTGATTGAAAAAACTTTAGATGTTCAATATTATATAAGTTCAGTTAAAGATCGTATTACATATTTTTGATATATCATTGATTTAATTTCAATCTTTAGTATAAATCAATAAATCTGTAAATATAGCTCATGACCCTTGATATAAAAAGCTCATTTATCTTGCTATTATTATTAAGTTTGCTTTATTTAGGTCTAATTATTAATGTATATACATTTCTTCGACATGTTATTACTCATATTCTAATTATAAAATCAGAATAAAATATATAAAGTTTATAAATGAATAAAGTAAAACCAATTTTTGAACAGGAAACATATCCTCACAGGATGTCTTAGCACCCATTGCGATGAAATGAACAACTTTATATATTCTATATTCTCTTCTCTGTCATAATAACCATAAATTTTAAATTGTATACCGTCAACTATATCTCTAACGTTTTGCGATATATTGAGATGACCAAACATTTATATACCTAGATTATTATAACAAACTAATTCATCCCACAAATATATTTTCATCTAAATGAAATGAACAACTTTCGTCAAAAAAAATGGAATGAACTACACATACTTTATTGGACAATTTAAGAACAATGTGTCCCCATTTGCATTGTTCTTTGATTTACATAAATTAACCATCAAACTTAAACCATTTATGTATTAACAATTCCCCTTCTTTCAATATAATTAGAAATAGTGGGGACGAATTGACTCCCTATATTATAATTATAAACACTAATCATTTTGACCATGTTTTAAGCAACTATTCTAATTTTCTGGTTATGCTGTTTAATTTCATCCACAAAACAGATTCCTAAATCAAATCAAATTTTTGCATTTCTTAAAAAAAAACTGATCTTATAAAAGTGTAAACATTTATAACTTGGTTAATTTACGATTTGATCTTAAGTTAGAGATCTTTTTATTCTGAATTTACTATTCCATATCAATCTAAATTTATTTTGCAGAATAATTAATTTTATGTTGTTATGGTTTAATTTCATAAAAAAATATTCAATAATCGTATCCAGAATTTGTTTTTTTTTTTTTGGAAAACATATTGATCCTAGATAAATGTTTAAATGTCTAGAACTTATTAATTTTTTTATTAATACATGTTTATATGTTTTTTAGTATGATAATTTCCAAATCAAACTAAATATGAATCCGCTCAATAAACATTTTAGATTTTTTTTATTTTCTTAGAAATTGCTAGCCTAACGTACATATATTTTTGGTGAAAATAATACCATCTAATCACATATACCTATTCAATCCAATATCTAAAATTGTTTTCATCTATCTCTAGCTTAAAAATAAAGTATAATAAAATTACAATAAGTTTTAAAGTTAAAACATTTAAAATTATATAAATATCTTTTTACTAAATAAAAACATATATTAAAATCAGCTAATATTTATATTATTTGAATATACGATGGATCATGCTTTTACTAATTTTTATTTTGTACGGGTTATTTTATAATATAAGAAAAATATTTATTAAAACGCAAGATAGGTAAAAAAACATAGTAAATAATTTTATTATAAAAATAAATTTGCTCATCTCAATTTTAAATTATTAAAAATAAATAAAATTAATTTAAAATGAGTTAAATAAGAGACTTATTCTGTTTTTATTTTCATATAACTATATATTGTTTTATATTTTTTTATTAATTAAATAATTAAAATAAAGCAGTTTTATAAATGAACATGTTTTCGTAAAACTGTAACATTATTAATCAACGGTATTTATATATTAAATTTATGACAAATATTTTCTTAAAAATATATACATTTCTTTTTAAATTATGATCTTTTGTGTAGCATAGATTATTTATTAACATATAAACTTTAAATATATTTTTAAGTTTGGACTGAAAATGACACTTCAATACCAAACGATGAGTATGTTTGACATTTGAAAATAATAATTTGGCTTCTTTAAAAATCCAATATCGAAAAGATATTTAACAAGTGTAATTGTAATAGACGACATTCATTTAATTTTTAATTAAATTATTTAAATATTAATATGCATTCAAATTGTCCTCAAAAACTAATTATTTCTCCTGTCAAAAGTTAGATAAATAACATAGATTAAATATAAATTTAATAAATTTAACTATAAATTATGTAGAAACTTTAAAATTATTTTCAAATATTTTTTTTAAACGAAAAACAATTTAAAAAGCGAGGGTCAAAATCTAGTTTTATTAATTAAATGTAATTAAGAATCTTGTTTAAAAAACACCTTGATTCATACCCTCTTATTTAGAAGTTCTTAAAAAAAAATTAGATATATGCAAAGCATATAGGTTGGAATGAAAACAATCTAATGTTGTTAATTCTAGGAGGAGACTTAACTCATATAACATACCTCAAGCAGCTTCCATTACTGCCTGGTACTAGGATGTTCTTTGTGGTGAGGCCTTGAGATGTTTGTATATCAACCTGAAACTCTTTCAAAGCAGCATCACCTATGTATTCCGTAGAATCATAATGAACATATCTCCTTCACTTTGATAATACGGCTGCATACGTACCAATTAGAAAGAAGCCCATATGCACACTTACCAATTAGTAGTCCAATAATTTTAAATATTATAGGAAAGTAATCCAAGAGAACTCAGAAGGCCCAATAACCTATTATTTTTTTTAATATCGCTGGCTTTTTTTTCTTTGTCGAAACATGGCTGACTTTCAATCACGAAATTATAAAATCAAAATAAAATATATTAATTAAAATTAATAATTAATACGACATTTTTGTAGAGAGATGCATATAATCAGACAGGGTGTTATAGCAACCGCTGCGTTGGTTTTGTACAGACAAGTAGTACAATAGCCTTAGAGGCGGCTATTACTCGAACATCCACACCTGGAGGCACCCAACTCGCTATTACAATCAGTATATGGAAGGTTAGAAAACAGATTCTCTAAGTTTTCTCATTATTATTGTTGTTAGTATATAAATTATATTATTATTTGAAATATAAATTGAATATAGGATCATGTATCTGGCAATTGGTGGCTCGGTCTAGGCCTAGATGTTGAACCAGTTGGGTATTGGCCCAGGAAAATTTTCACGCTTTTGTCAGATCACGCAACTATGGTTCATTGGGGCGGAGAGGTTCGTTATGTAAACAGTTCGGGCATGAACACTGTAACCCAAATGGGTTCAGGAGAGTTTGCCAATAAAGGGTTTACACGAGCTGCTTATTTCTGCAATCTAGAAGTGGCCCAGGACAATGATACTATGTTACCAGTTACAGGGTTCAACCTGAAGATAACCAACTCAAGACATTATACTATCACAAAACGGAACAGCAAGGAATGTGGTCTTCATTTCTATTTTGGCGGACCTGGGCCTCAGCGTTTAGGAGTTACCCGGGGGACAACGACATTATTATATTTTATATTTTGTATGTGTTTTGTTTTTATTTTGTTTTGATTTAATATATGTAAACTGCTTTTAAGAAAAAAAACATAAATATATGTTGTGTTAACTTTCATTTATTTGACATTATCATATAAGAGAATGCATCAGTGGTAGATACGGAACGGAAAACAACACCGTATTTGAAAAACACCCAATTTTTTACTAAAATATAAACTTCAATCCATTATAGCATGGCTGATAAATTATGTATTTAAAAATTAAATAATCTATAAAACATTTGAAATAAATGAATGGTTTATGGATGTATTTTTAATTTTTTTTTGTTTCATTGTCAATAGATTTCACAAATCAAAGTGAACTAGATCTGACAAGTTGTGAGTCTGGTCAAATATTTTAATATTATTTAACATAACTATGTTAATTATATGTTGATTAATGAAATCTGATATAGTAAAATAAGAGATCAGATTCATGTTAATTAATTACTTTGATAGACCAAAGTTTATACAATAATCTTAATAAAATAGATTTTCCTATATAACAAGTTAAATTTAAGATTTATAGCATATAAATTCATATAACATGGATTTATTTTCAATTTTAGTATTAAAAACTGAAATAGATGTCTTCAGTATTTTCTTTTCACAAAAAAATGTCATTACGAGGATATTTGTAAAAAAAATCTAGCTAATATAAACCATACAAAACAAATCATCAAATCAGATTTAAACTAAATGGTATATAAAAGGTAAAATGTGCATGCTTAGTTACTCAGAAAACACAGCTGGAGTTTCATTTAACTAAATCAAATTCAGTAAAACTCATTTAAAATTTAAATGTGGAGTATAAAAGAAAACTTTAGATAGAAAAAATTACACACAAGTTAATTTCAAGATTTTGCTGCATAGTTTTATAAAACATGGATTTGATTTTAATTTTGATATTATAAACAAAACAAAATAAGAAAAATACAAGTAAAAGATGAGCAAAATATAAGAACAATATAAATAAAAAAGCAGCAAGTTAATGTAAGTTATCTAATTATAGTGCATACCACTTGATATAAAAGTTGTGAACTAGTAGTGTATTAACTAGATCTGACACGTTGTGAGTTTGTTCAAATATTTTAATATTACTTAAAATGATTATGTCAATTATTATTTCGATTAATCAAAATTTATATAAAAAACAAAGTCTCTGATACATGTTAAGATTAGTGGATTTATTGTATATTTTTAATTTTATGTACATGTATACGACAAAATCTAATTAACTGATTTAACAGATATCTCAGCTGTATTAATGTAGAGCCAAATTCTATATAATAAAATGTGTTTTTTTTCAAAAAATGTTTTTGTTTAGTATGGTGACACAACTTTGTTTTGCTGACACATTTTTAATGTTAGTAGTAATATTAGCTGAGTGATAATATTTTTGACACTTACTAAATGGCAAAAGGGATTAGATGTTAACGAATTATTAATTTATTTTTTTTATATATTTTACATTTAT